TGCTAATTCACGATGTTTTGAAATTAGTAATTTTACTAATTAACTAAAAATATTAATTAAAAGAAAATATTAAAGCTTATATACGTCGTATAGATTGAAAATATAAAAATATAATTTGATTTTTAAACTCTAGAGGCCAAAAAGCAATCTGATTTAAAATATTAAAGATGACATGCAGAGGAAACAAATTAAAAAAAGTTCAACATTAAAGATTAAAGATAGAGAAAAAATAAATCACAGATTTATAATTACGAATTGATGAAGCATTGAGGGATGGTTAAATTTTAAGAAATCAAAATTATTAATTTTATGATTTTTGATTTATCAAAAGAAATTATTTACTTTCTAAGATGGGGATCTACGTATATATTACAAATTATAACAAACCTTGTTTTAGTTAACTTTTCTCAATGTTTATATATAATATAATATGTTCTTAAACCTATTAAATTAAAATTTTTAACTTGCCAATGAGATGGCGGTCTAGCTGGTCTCTGATTTGAAATTAAGGGTTTCCATTGTCTTCGGCAAAATTAACTATTTCGATAGCTGTTAGTTGTTTTAATAGCGTTTAGCTGTTTGAGTCGCTTTTTATTAAGCTAAAAGTTAAACGTTACATGAGTTAACTTTTCATAAAATACTACATTAACCTCTAAAAATTAGTTTAAATAAAAAATAATATTTAGTATTTTGACCAGTTAAAAGGCTAAAAGTGACTTAAAAAACTGTTGCCGAACACCGTTTTAGTAGTTGTTAGCTGTTAAGAGGAAGTAATATTTCATAATTAGTTTCTTTAAATTCTATCGGGTTATTTGTTTATATATATAGCATTACAAATTAATTATATAAAAGTTAATGTATTTTGTAAAGATGGAAGCAAAATATGAAAGTTAATTATATGTAAAATAAATGTTATATATTCTCCCCAAAGATGATGCAAAATGTGAAATTAAAGGAAAAAATATGTTGTATTTCTTTCAATTGTGTTATATTTTTCAACCTTTACTCTACTATATATATACAAAAAATTGTTACAATATAGGAAGTAATCTAAATAGGAATAAACCTAAATTAGAAAACACAATTTTTACACTAATTAGGAATAAACGTAAACTAGAAAACACAATATTTACTTTAATCACAAAGATTTCAACATTCCCCCTCTTGGTGCATAGATATTACTCATGCCCAACTTGCAAACTAAAGGATGAAACAACTTGGACTTAAAGGAATTAACAATGTAATAGGCAGTCATTCGTCTTGATTTCGTTTAACTATGGAGATGTTTCCATTGATTGGTTCAAGAGATATATATGATAAAAAATGAAAATGTAAGAGAGATTTAGGGTTATTTATGTCCTTTCACAAGTTATTTAATGAAAAAAAAATTGAATTTTTTGACAGAAAAACAATAGTTATAATAATAAAAAAAAATAGAAACAAAATAGTATAGAGACAAAATAATTAATTTTAGCATAATATAGGGACGCGTTTATAATTTGATTCACCAATTCTTTTGTGGATGAAATCAAGATTCACCAAATTAATTATATTTATTTTCTTAATCATTTGATTTTTAATAATACTAATAATATTTATAAGTTTAGAATAATTAAATAAATTAGTAGTAATATTTATAAGTTTAGAATACTGCCAGTTGGTTTGATTGGTAATAACCATTCTATTTTCGGTCCTAGTTTGATTTTATATCTAGTTTACCGAACTAATTTTTACATTCAATATAGGTGAATCAGTTCGAAATAGCGGAATAAATTTAAATTGATCTGATTCGATTTTATACTGAACCAATTTTTAAAGATCCATACAAGTTTGGTTATTATATAAATCATAAATGCATTCAGTTAAATTGAATCAAACTAATTCAGTTTCAGATTCAATTAGACCGTGCGAAGAGACAAGATTATTAAAAGTTAATCCAAATAAGTTAGGAACAAAACCACCGTGAAACGAGCAGAGTAACGTGATCAAAACCTGATATCTTGGATCACAAGGCAATATACAACTATTGAGTTATTAGTCAACCGCTTCATTAATTGTAATTGCTCTGTAAAAAAAAAAAAAATTATTTTTTATCTTATAATATAATTTAAGCTTAGGTGAATTTCTTAAAATAAAAAAATAAATATCTAGTTTGCAAAATACATACTTTAATTCATGATGTTTTTTTTTTTTTAGTATTAAAAATGGGGAATTCGAACCTAAATTTATTGTCAGGTCGTATATGCATTTATCAAATTATGTCTTGACGTGCTAATTCACGAGGTTTTGAAATTAATAAACTAATTAATTAAAAGAAAATATTAAGGCTTATATACGTGGTATAGATTTAAAAAATAAAAATATAATTTGATTTTAAAACTGTAGAGGCTAAAAATGCAATCTGATTTAAAACATTAAAGATTACATGCAGAGGAAACAAAAAAAAAATTCAACATTAAAGATTAAAGATAGAGAAAAAATAAATCACAGATTTATAATTACGAATTGATGAAGCATTGAGGGATGGTTAAATTTTAAGAAATCAAAATTATTAATTTTATGATTTTTGATTTATCAAAAGAAATTATTTACTTTATAAGATGAGGATCTACGTATACATTACAAATTACAAATAAAGAACAAACCTTGTTTTAGTTAACTTTTCTGAATGTTTATATATAATATAATATGTTCTTAAACCTATTAAATTAAAATTTTTAACTTGTTAATGAGGTGGTGGTTTGACTGGTCTCTTCACTTATGTGAAAAATGAGATATCTTGAGTTTGAGTTTTTTCAATCACAATTATTTTCACAAATTTAATAAGCTCTTGGTAACAATTTTTAATCATTGAGTTGATTCAAATTCAAGCCACCCGAATGATTTATGATAAAGTGGTTTGACATGATTATTATTTTTTAGATTTTAATTATATAAAATTATTGTTATTTATTTTCATAAGTAATTCTTTTGTTTTAGAATTATAGTCCCAGTTTTCAACGTAATAGCTCCATTTGTACTTCTAGAAATATTTCTTTAACTTTTCCACAATGCTTTTTTTTTTTTTTATAATAATCCGTGTGAATAATACTGATTGAATTTATTAAATTGTAAAAAGTTTTTAAAATAAATTAACTATGAAAAAAAAGGCAAAAATAAAAAATAAGACAAAAAAAGCTAATCTAATTATTTTTAAACTGTGTGAAAAAATCTGGGTCCATAAGTTTGAAAGGAATAAAGGCCAATTTGATCTTAAATTTGTTTAGGAGGATCAAAAGGTCATATTTGAACTTTTGGGTTAATTTAGCATTTGAACTTGTATAAAATGGTTAAAAAGATCTAATTTTACTTTTTAGATCAATTTAACGACTGAACTTATTTAAAATGATTAAAAAAAAAAAACTATATTTGATATTTTGAATCAATTTAACTTTAATTCTTCATTGTACTTAGAATGTGAAAATTATTATATAAACATTTATTAAAACTGTAGTTGAGATTGAGCTGACTAATTTATTAAAAAATTAATTAATTATAAATTATAGCTATATAAAAATATTAATTTTGAAATTTTAAATTACTCTTCATTACTTATATAAACATTTATTAAAACTGTAGTTGAGATTGAGCTGACTAATTTATTAAAAAATTAATTAATTATAAAATATAAGAAAATGATATATGATGTATATTGTATCTCTCTTTACCTTGATTGATGACTTTAAGCTTATAAATATATATTAATTTGAAGATTTTAAAATTAACCTCTATTACAGGATTATCGCTCGTGAAATCTATGCATTTTTCATGTTGAATAAATGAAAGTTATAATGCATGTTTATAAATTTATTATATTACAAGAAATGATGTTCTTATGGATTTTAAATTTATATTCATAAGTGCTGAAAAAAATTTGATATGAGTGTTCTTAGTATAAGACAAAAAGGGATAAAAGATCAATCATGTTAAATTAAATTAATTATTAATTTATAAAAATCAAAACAAATTCAAGGGTTAAATTGATCTAAAAAATAAAATCAGATCTTTTTAATCATTTTATACAAGTTTAAAGGCTAAATTGGCCTAATAAATTAAATCTGAATCCTTTTAATCTTGCTAAACAAATTCAACAACCAAACATACCTTTATTCCAATTTTGAAATGGAGGGATTAGTTATAATTCCGTCACTTGATGCGTAGCTAAGTAGCTATAGTTATAAGTAGTGTTTTAAAAATCACATTGAACTTATTTAACTTGCTAATATAGGTTGTTGGTCTGATCCAATTTTTTGCTGCAAACTGAAAATGTTTTAATTTAAACAAAAAATTAATATTTTTATTAACTTATAACATAAAGATAGTTTTTAAAAGGTCATGGATTTTTTTCTTAAAAACTTGATAACAAATAAAAGGTACAAAAATTATAAATAAATAGTCTCATTTTTGAAAATAAATACAATTTAATTCTATTAAATACATTGTAGTACTCAAATGTTTTTATATGATATGTGAATGATGGATGATTAAAAATTATTATAATATTTTTTCTCGACCGTAAGAATTTTTATTAATTTGATGAGTTAAAACAACAATTACTCTTATTGTGTAGTCTTATTTCAGTCCATTGAGCTTCATAACGAATAAAAAAATTATCATAATATTTAAACTATTGTAGCTTATTTTTTGATGCTTTTTCTATTGTATTTAAAATTAGTAGTTATATATTTGATGACAAATGGTTTGAAAATATATACTTATGACTATATTGTTTTTCATTATAAAATTATTTACAAATAATTATAAAAAAAAACAAAAAGTAAAAAATTTGGATTGAATAGAGTTGATTCTCACTAAATCGGTTCAAGATCCCATTCCATTTTAAAAAACATTTTATGTAAGTTGAAGTATCATTAAATATAGTTTTAAAAGTTAAAGTGTGAGTCGCACCGAGATTTTTTTTTAATATAAAATTCAATTAATTAATTTATTCATATGGCGTTAAAAGGAGTGGCTGGAATAAGCGAACCGGCCTTACAGATTCCGACCGTCTCTTCAACATTTGAAAGACACCGTTGTTCCGTTAAAGAGGGAGAAAGACGGCACATTTTGGTTCGATTTTTATTCGAAAAATCAGACGCTGGAAAGACTAAATTGCCCTCACTTGAGCTGAAAATTCGACGGTTGATATTTTCAATTTTTCAGTTAGGAAAACGGAGAATAATGGTGGCGCAGTGTTGGAGTTGCTCTTCTTATCCAAAATCAACTTCTCTGTTTTCTCAAACCCTTTTGTTGGCTCTTTCAGATCCTAAAACCCGCCAATCTTACCGTTACAATGCCAATTGCAAGTACAGTTTTCCTCTTCTAAAAACGCCTAGAAACAGAAACAGAGAGTTACGTAAGAGTAAATTCAGTTGTTTTTGCCAACTGGGTCTCGAAGATATTGCTGGGATCGCTCACAATAAGGTTCTTTCCCTTTACATACCCAGAATTTCGTCTCTGTCATTTCTTATTTGAATTTAACGGTTTTGTTTGTTATAGGTATTGATAGCTGCTGGTGCATCAGCAGCCATTGGTCAACTCTCCAAGCCATTCACTTCTCTGCTTCTATATGACAAAGATTTTGATTTCAAGACAGCCTTTCAGGCTGGGGGCTTCCCTTCTACCCATTCCTCTGTATGTTTTTTCTTTTATACTATATGATTGCTTTTTCTTCTTATATGTTTTTTTTCAATGCCTACCCACTGCTAATTGATTTGACTACATATGTATAGGCTGTTGTGGCCACTGCCACTTGTCTTGCTCTAGAGAGGTGATCTGCACCCGCTATTGTATTTTTGGCCTTATTTCTTCAATGAATTTCAAATTTGAATGTTTTATGTGTAAGTGTTGTCTTTTATTTTATTGCAGGGGTTTCTCAGATTCAATTTTTGGTCTTACAATGGTTTATGCTGGCCTTATCATGTATGACGCGCAGGTATCAATCCTAGCTATATATATATATATATATTAAAAAATGCTGTAGTTTCATGAGAATTCCTTGTGATTTTGATGATTTCCTGATTCATACATTTGATTATCTTGCATCATGGAGTGGGATATGTTGCTTACATTTTGGTTTGCTTACTTGGATTTCTGATATAACCTAATATCTTTCTCCTTATGAACAAAAGTTATACTAGTATTATTCTTCTGAAGAATGAAGATATGCTGCAGTAAAATGTCAAATATGAATCAGGATCTAGGCTCTTTTTGGTAATTTATCAAAATTCTTTGCCCTTTGACTTTCAATTTTGATGAACAGTGTTCATTCAATCCCAATGGAGCACAAATATTTACCACTTGATGTGAATCAGTTACTGGAGTACACCTGCTAGATTAATTGGGAACACATTATCTAGCCTTTTGGAAATATGGGGGTTAATATCGTAGATATTACTGGAAATGATTTTGTGGAATCAATGTAGATTGAAGCGTGATTTAGTTGCAAAACTACTCTTTCTATCTGTACTTATTCTGGTAGATGACATGTTCCAGTCATGTAAAAAGCAGATTAGTTAGGTGTAACAAAATTGTGATTCTTGCTATGACCACATGAGAATGCATAACAGCGCTGCAGCCTGCCAAGCTAAGTGAAAAGTTCATTATTCAATCTTATCTCAGTAGTTGACTGGTTGCAACTGTAATTTGAGCTTGGTTTTTTCTTTTCTTAATTTTGGTCTTCCTTTTACTAATATCATTTCTCAGGACCATGCATCTTCTCTGGTGCTTTATTGGAATTTGCATTTTCCGTTCTTCAATTACTTATTCCTTTTTAATTCTTAAAGACATGTGTCCCAAGATCGCTTTGTATCTACGTCAACAACCTAAAGAAAACTTGGTTTCTTTGCTCCCTTTTCTTTGGCAGAAGAGCTGCAGACTTGTATTTCTTCAATAATGATAACATTGCTGGACTCCTTGTTGGCCTCTTCTTTACACTTCCATTCTTCTTCATTGATACCTTCAGTACTCATCTTCATCTAACTACCAATGTTCCTTGAAAGTGTTTCTCTGTTGCTTTTTTTTTGCCGATCTAATTTCAACCATGTTTTAAAAGTGAAAGCATGGGCTTTGCCACCATTCACCAAAAGATTGACTGCTGATCAGAAATGTGCCTCACAACATCTTTCTATAGCAATAAAAAAATTCTCATCCCATGCAGCTGAAATCAAGAAGCTGTTACTTAGCAAATTGTTCTTTAGCTGTAAGTTGTCCTCTGTCAACAACTTGGCTGCTAGCATGAAATTTTCCATCAGTCTGTATGTATAGCTCTAGAAAATAGTTGGTTGGGAGTTCTCAAAGTCTAGGGCAAGAAAAGAGTAAGTTGGGATAATTAACAAGTTTGATTTTGAGCTTGGGTTTTTTCTTAGTTAGGGAAAAAAAGTACTCGAGTTCCTTGAGGGAAAAAATGTTGTTTGATACTTGATTTAAATAAGCTGAGCAATAATGCTAATTATTCATATTGAGTCATTAATGCACACCATATACTTATAGTAGTTAATTGAAATAATTGAATATTATTCCTATATATCAATGGTTTTCCACTTGAAACTCAAATTCCAATCAAGCTTCATTTCAAATGAAGGTCTTCCTGCAATGGTTTGTCTAATAGCTCCCACACGCTTGTATTTGTATCAGTTGTCTCTTGAAGGAATTGATCCTACAAAAGACATCATCTTGCATCAAGAAAGTTCATTGTTGGATTACCAAGCTAAACATTAATTAGTTCGAATCGTGTTGGATTGAGTTTGAGATTAAATTTGATTGCCTTGTTATACTGAGGACTTGGTGTAATAAATAGGTTAAATAGTTAGACATTATGGATACAAATGTTTGCCTTGTACAAGACATTTGTCTGAAGGAAGATGGTTACTTTTGCAGGGGGTGAGGAGAGAAGTGGGAAATCATGCAAAAGTAGTAAACAAATTACTATCCAAGACCCCAGCCAACACAAGCCCAAGAGATGATTTGATTGATTCTCAACAGTTCACATTGTCCAAGGAAGGAAGGCCTCTTGCCAAAAAATCAACAAACTCACCTCTTTTACTTGAATCAGAAAATAAAACCAGGCAGGCAAGTCAGCTTCTGATATCCTCGAGCTTAGCAGCTAATGAAGAAGAAACAAGAAAAAATTTTAATACTTCAATTCCATTGAAGGAATCAATAGGCCACACTGAGGTCGAAGTTATAGCTGGTGCGTTGTTGGGTTTCTTTGTAAGCTTAGCAGTGTATACAGTTGTGTGATAACTAATTTAAATACTAAAAAACAAAAATTTTTCTTGTTCTAAAATTTTACACGAACAATTTATTGTAATCCATAATTTATTTTAAATAAAGAATTTATTAATTTGAATAATTACTAATTTAAGTGTTAAATTATTTTGTTTTTTTTTTTTTTTTTTTTTTTAATACACTCAACCCACACAAACAACTAGTCCTCATAGAGTATGATTGATTGATTCCTTAATCATCCACATTTTGTCAATGTGAATGCATGACTATGACCCACAAAAACATCACCTAACCAGCCACTTCTTTGATACTGAATCAGAATTTATGACAATATCATGGCTTGTGTAAGTCTAGCTTTTGTATACTCAGAAAACCTCTAGCAGACTATCAATGTAAGAGATACTAAGATAAGAAAATATCAAATTACTTACCTTATGCCATTAGAATTTATTTCTGTTAGTCACACTAATTGGTCGTGTATAATATGTGCTTGCTTAGGTTTTCTTTGTTTTTTCCTGAGTCTGTCTATACAGTTGTGATTACTCACACACTTTAAGATACTAAAAAACATATAAATAGTTTGGATTCAATATCTCTATACGCATTTTTACTACATAATATGTAAGTCTATAAATTATTTCTAAATAAAGATTAATTTAAGAAATTGAATATACAAGATAATTGTTAAATTATGTTGTTTTTTTTTATTTTATCTGTTAAAGTTTTTTTTTTTTTTTTTTTTTTGTTAAGAATAAGCCTGGATTAGTTGATCTCATGGTAGGAACTGTAATTAAATTTGATATAGCCGAACTTCTCTGATTTGAAATTAAGGTTTCCATTGTCTTCGGCAAAATTAACTGTTTTGATAGCTGTTAGTTGTTTTAATCTTTTCATTAAACGCTAAAAGTTAAACGTTACACGAGTTAATTTTTTATAAAATGCTATATTAACCTATAAAATGCTATATTAACCTTTAAAAATTAGTTTAAGTAATGTGTTACTGAACATTATAAAAAGCAACATTTAGCGTTTTGACCAGTTAAAATTATTTAAAAAACTGTTGTCGAACACAACTTTAGTAGTTATCGGTTGTTTAAGAGGGAGTAATATTTCATAATTAGTTTCTTTAAATTCTATGGGGTTATTTGTTTATATATATAGCATTACAAATTAATTATATGAAAGTTAATGTATTTTGTAAAGATGGAAGCAAAATATGAAAATTAATTGTATGAAAAATAAATGTTATATATTCTCTGCGAAGATGATGCAAAATATGAATCAGTTTCATTTATATTGTATTGCAATTAATTTTTGTTTACAAAATGACATCTTTTTATGATACTAATCATTGAAGCACAAAGCTATAAACAAAAACAAAAAAAAAAAAAAAGAAATAAAAAAGCAATAATCAAAAAAAAAAAAAAAAAAAAAAAGCAATAATCAAAATTAGCTTATAAAGGGAGTGTTTTTGGCCTTGACATTCAGATAGTTTCTTATATGAAAAAATAAAACAAATGTTAATTCAGATAAGTTTCTTATCTGAAAAAATAAAACAAATATTATGAAATTAGTGGATGTCCTACATGGTTAGAAGTAGTTATTTGTAATTAGCGAGAACTCTACCTTTCTAATAATTTGTGTAGGATTCTATTTCTCCTATTAGGGTTCCACTTATGTACCTATATATATATATATATGTGTGTGTGTGTGGCTTCTCATCAATAATAATGATACTCTCGTATTTTTCCTATTCTCTCTGTTCTCCCTTTACTTTTCTCCCTAATTTTGTATTATTTTATAACACGTGACAGGTTTTTTCGCATATGAAATTGCAAATAAGTAATAAAGAGCGAGTAGAGTATTGTCCCACGAAGATTGTATATCAAGTACCAAAATTGTGTTAACCTATTATTATTTAAATGACAATAAATATAATGTATTTGAAAAATAAAAGAATTAAAGTAAAAACAATAAGAATGAGATTAAGCAAGAAGTTGTTAAAAGGAAATCAAGGTTTAAAAGATACTAGAGATTTTGACTTCACTTAATTCGATCTAGATAATCAATTTTAATTATTCAAGATGGAGAATTAACCCAAAATTCGCTAATAAGCTCTCTCGACGTTTTATTAACTATTTTAACCCAACTCAATTACCTATCTCTCAATGGCACAATCAAATGGAGATTAAATCATTAGGTTCTATGATTATTTAGGAATCCAAAAATTAAGGCTTTTAATTTTATGAAAACATCTCACGAGTCAAACCATCTAGCTCTCGCATCAAGTTGCTATTCCCATGAAATTTATTACCCTGTTCATATTAAAAATCCTTTTCTCGATAGTGATTAATGAAATAAATCAATCAAGGGGAGAAACTTTTCCTAGAAGCATTAAGATCAATAATAAACTTTACTCGAATAAAGAAAATCAATTTTAATATTATAAACTGGAATTGAAGTTAAGCTATATCATATCCCTAGTAAAAAGATTTAGTTCGACATAGTAAATAAATCAAACTCAATAAAATTTATAAGTAATCCCATAAAGAATAATAAACAAATAAAATTTATAAGTAATCCCATAAAGAATAATAAACAAAAGAAAGTTTAGAAATAAAAACTGGTCAACGATTGGCTTGAGCGGCTTCCTTGCGCGTCCGTAATTATTGCCCTAGGTGTACCATGACGAGTGAAAATATATGTCTCGATGAAGTTAATCACACTCTTGGCATCATTGTTAGGAAGGGCAACAGCTTCCGCCCATTTAGAGATGTAGTCTATTATCACTAAGATGTATTGGTTAGAATAAGAAGGAAAAGTTCCCATGAAATCCAAACCCCAAACATCAAAGATCTCTACTTCAAGAATGTTGTTTAATGGCATCTCATGCTGCTTGGAGATATTTCTTAACCTTTGATAACGATTGAAAATATGAATAAAGTTAAAAACATATTTAAACAAGTTAGGCCAATACAAACCACTTTCTAGAACACGTGCCACTATTTTGTTTCCTCCAAAGTGTCCTCCACACTCTATTGAATGACAAAAACGAAGAACACTTTTCATTTCTACTTCTGGCACACCTCGTCTAAACATTTGTTCACTATAATGCTTAGACAAGAAAGGCTCCTCCCAATAATAATAATTAAGATCATGAAAGAATTTCTTCTTTTGTTGATAAAAAAGATTGGGAGGAGTGATTTTGCAAGCAAGATAATTAACTATATCCGCATACCATGAAGCATGCGTACTTGCTAGAAGGAGAAGATATTCATGGGGAAAATCTTCATTAATTTTCATCTCTTCTTGCCTTTCTTCCCCCAAATCAAGCCTGGACAAATGGTCAGCGACAAGGTTCTCGGTTCCTTTCTTATCACGAATCTCCAAGTCAAAATCCTTGTTAAAGAAGAACCCCACGAATTAGTCTAGGCTTTGCATCTTTCTTTTCTAACAAATATTTAATAGCTGAGTGATTAGTGTAAACTATTGTTCTAGCTCGAATTAAATATGCCCTAAATTTATCAAAAGCAAAAACAATAGCAAGGATTTCTTTTTCTTTGGTGGCATAATTAAGTTGTGCATCATTCAATGTACGATTAGCATAATAAATGACATGCAACTTTTTCTCTTTTCTTTGCCTAAGAATAGCTCCTATAACATGATCACTAGCATCACACATGAGTTTAAAAGGAAGGCTCCAATCTAGTGTAGCAATGATAGGTGCTGAAATCAATTCCTTCTTTAACCTGTTAAAAGCATTCAAACACTCTTCATTAAAATCAAAAGTAACATCTTCAACCAATAAATTATAAAGAGGTTTTGTGATCAAAAGTAACATCTTCAACCAATAAATTATAAAGAGGTTTTGTGATCTTTGAGAAGTCCTTGATAAATCTCCTATAAAAACCTGCATGACCAAGAAAACTCCTCACCCCCTTCACTAAAGTTGGAGGTAGTAGCTTTTCAATTACCTCTATTTTGGCCTTAACTAACTCCAATCCCCTTTTCTGAGATTTTATGCCTTAAAACAAACCTTCACTAACCATAAAATGACATTTTTCCAATTCAAAACAAGGTTATTGTCTTCACATCGCTACATTACTACAGAAAAGTTATAAAGACAAGAATCAAAAGAAGAACCAAACACAAAAAAATCATCCATAAATACTTCAATGAATTATGGACATCATATACCTTTGCAAAGTCACAGGTGTGTTGCACAACCCAAAAGACATTCTCCTATAAGCAAAGGTACCATAAGGGCAAATGAAAGTAGTCTTCTCTTGATCCTCAGGAGCTATGAGTATTTGAAAATAACCTGAATAACCATCTAGAAAATAGTAGTAAGGATATCCTGTAAGTCTTTCAAGCATTTGATCAATAAAAGGTAAAGGGAAGTGACCTTTGCGTGTTGCTTTGTTCAACTTTCGATAATCAATACACACACGCCAACCTGTGACAGTTTTAGTAGGAATCAACTCATTATTTTTATTAGCGATCAACTCATTATTTTATTAGAAATAACTTTCATACTCTCTTTGGAACGACTCGAAACAGGGCTTACCCAAACTACTATTTAGATCTAGATAGATAAATGGCCAGCATTGATTAGATAGATAATGCCAGCATCCAAAAGCTTAATAATTTCAGCTTTGACTACTTCCTTCATATTTTGATTTAATCTCCTTTGATGCTCAATCATATGCTTGTAGTCTTCTTCCATCAAAATTTTGTGCATGTACACACTTGGATTGATCCCCTTGAAATCTGAAATCAACCACCCTAAAGCTTTCTTATGCTTTCCGAGAACCTGCAATAACCTTTTCTCTTGATCAAGTGATAAGTGAGAAGAAATAATAGCATGAAAAGAATTGTTCTCACTTAAAAATGCATACTTTAAATGGGAGGGAAGTTGTTTTAGTTCTTGCTTTGGTGGTTCACTCGCTTCCTCACTTTTAATGCTTTGAACATTAATGTTAATATCACCTTTATCAATGGTTAATTTATCTTTAACATGTAAGGTGTCCTTTACACAATCATCAATTACATCAATTTTAAAACAATCATTATAATCCATAGGAAGCTTACAAGATTTAAGAACATCAAAAACAACTT